TACCCTGGTGCAGATCTTGTAACATTATTTATATATCTCTTTCCCTTCGGTATGGGTCATCTTCCTATTTACTCGGGGGTTTTTTTTGCATTTAATCTAATGCTTTCTTACCATTTTTCCTAGCAAGTGATACCTTTCCTGTTTCTTTACATTTATTTGATCTTATTTACTTTTTTCAAGCTTATCCCTACTATCTGACCATTCCCTTTATTTATTTGTTTAAAAACTTTTTTTTCTTAATTGATTTTAGAGAGAGGAAGAGGGAGGGAGGGAGAGATAGAAACATCGATGAGAGAGAACATCAATTGGCCGCCTCCTTCATGTCCCCCACTGGGGATCGGGCCCACAGCCTGGGCATGTGCCCTGACCGGGAATCGAACTGGCAACCTTTTGGTGCATGGTCAAGGCTCAACCACTGAGCCACACCGGCCCTGCTCTGACCATTCCCTTTAAACAAAACTTATTTATTTACTGCTTACTTAATTACTGTCTTTCTTTGTGTCCCCCCTCCCTTGTTCCTTACCGACCTTTAACCTTTTCTCCACCCCAAACACTTGCACACATTCACACTAGGCTGGGGGCTCCATGTTCATTGCAATGACCCAACACAGAACCGTGCCTGGCACATACTAGGGGCTAAATGACTAAAATTAATTAGCAGTATATCTTCATCTCAGATCCAATGTATCGTCACTTTCATAACATCTAGATGGTTTGTACCTCTCATCACTCTTCATCCTATGACACTTTCTGGTCCAGGTGTTTTGGACAAGTCTCATCTTGCCTCCTTGTGGCAAGTCGCTTAGGTCACAGTTATCACCAAATCTTTCAAGATCTAGCATATTCCATTGTACATAAGAGGCACTCAGTAAGCCCACTAAATTAATCAAAAACTCCTAGAAAAAGAAAAAAACCCAAAGGGCCTCTAGATGCTAACTCCAGCTTTTCCTAGATTGCAATTAAGAGAATTTATAAGTCTCATTCTTATCCTTTTGAGCCCTCCCTAGACAGATTTCTCAGAGTGTTGGAGTCCACTTGTTTCATTGTTACAAAGGCAACTTTTAGTGATAACAATCTACAACAATCTGCTTGTTTATTCAGCTACTGAAAGGCACAGGGTTAAGTCACTGGGGAAACAAAGGTGATGGATACACTGCCCCTCCATGGAGAAGCTCAGAGTCTAATGGGGGGCTGACAATGATATAATAATGGAGTGCAATATAAAAAAAATCTTATAGAGAATGTATGATGCAGTTGAGTGAGGAACAGAGTCTACTTTCCCGGGAGGTCAAGAAGGCATCTTAGTGAGACTGAGTTGGGCTTTATTTTCATCCATTTTTTTTTTTATTTTATAGTATTTTATTTCTCATTTAAATTTTTTGGTGAGCTAATGCAGTCACATGGTTCACAATTTGAAAGATTACAAAGATGATAACAAACAACAAATCTTGGTGAGGATGAGGAGCATCAGGAGCTCATTCATTGTCAGTGGAAATGCAAAATAGCACAGTCACTCTAGAAGACAGTTTAGCAATTTTTTAATTTCTTGGTATGTGTCCCTAGTGGGAACCGAACCCCGGAGTCTCTGGTCTGCAGGCCGATGCTCCAACCACTGAGACAAACCGGCCCGGGAGTCTGGACCTATTTTGATCATCAGTTTATTGTGTTCATTAGATTGCACATATACGTGAGATTACATGATATTTGTTTTTCTCTGACTGGCTTATTTCACTTAGCGTAATAATTTCCAAGTCCATCCATGCTGTTGCAAAGGGTAAGAGACCCTTCATTTTTACAGCCGCATAGTATTCCATGATGTAAATGTACCACCGCTTTTTTTATTTTTTAGTGCTCTTTTTTTTTTCAACTTTTATTAATTTATTTTTGTTACAGATGTTTTTCCTTTTCCCCTCCTAGACACGCTCCTCCCCATCCCGCCCCCCTCCCACGGAATTGTTGTCTGTGTCCATTGGTTACGCATACATGCGTGTAAGTTCTTCGGTTTATCTCATCCACCCCCCAGCCCCCTCCTCTGAGGTTTGTCAGTCTGAACCGTACTCCTTTCTATGTCTCTGGATCTGTTTTGTTCGTCAGCTTATTTTGTCCATTATAGTCCACAAACAAGGGAGATCAGGTGGTATTTATCTTTCTCTGCTTGGCTTATTTCTCTTAGCATAATACTTTCCAGGTCCCTCCATGTTGTCTCAAAGGATAAGAGATCTTTCTTTGTTACAGCTGCATAGTACTCCATTGTGTATATGTACGACAGCTTTTTATCCATCTGTCTACTGATGGACACTTGGGCTGTTTCTAGATCTTGACTATTGTAAATAACACTGCTATGAACATAGGGGTGCATATGTTCTTTCTGATTGGTTTTTTGAGATTCTTAGGATATAGTCCCCAAAGTGGGATCTCTAGGTTAAATGGCAGCTCCATTCTTAATTTTTTGAGGAAACTCCATACTGGTTTCCACAGTGGCTGCCCCAGTCTGCATTCCCACCAGCAGTATACTAGGGTTCCTTTTCTCCACACCCTCGTCAACACTTATGGTTTGTTGATTTGTTGATGGCAGCCCTTCTGGCAGGTGTGAGGTGATACCTCATTGTAGTTTTAATTTGCATCTCTATGATGATTAGTTGAGTTAGAACTCTTCTGATTTTTAAGTAACAGGCACCAACTGGAGCATGCTTCAGTAAAATGAGGAGAATGTATTATATAGAGACAAGGTGGCTCACAGAATTCAAGGAAAACAGAATGGGTTACTCTCTATCCTTCCATGTCCTCTGTTCCTCTGTGTGCCTGTTCTTTCTCCTTAATCAGCTCTCTCTGCTAACTCAGCCACATCGGGGGACAACATGGTTCACCCACAGTCACCAAGTTACGTTACACATCCAACCACAGTCATATTTTCCTTCAGTCCGAAGAGAAAAGATTCTGACCCTTCCATTCTGGTCCATCCAACCGCGAGGATGAGAATAAGGTCACATTACAAATATGGCTACTGGGGAGCAGAAGTGGGGAGCACGTACTTAATGACATCATTTTCAGCTGCGCATTTAGTCTGGAAGGTGTCCCTCACAGTGGACAAAAACACATGTATAACGAAACATGCAGTTCGGGAAACTACAGAGCACTTGGCTGGAATTTCTTAAAGTGCAGGATCTTCTTTGACATCCTCTGCCGTAGGCTGGTTTCTCTGGAAGCAGAGCCCGAGGAGGTCTGAGATGGGTCGGTTGCTGGGGAGTCTCCTTGAGAACCATAGTCAGGGAGAGAGGGAAGCAGGAGAGGAGAGAATGCTGAGGAAGGACATAGCCTCAGGTAAAGTCCAGCCTGGAATGATCTACAGGGATCCTTTGTAGAGATTTCGCCCCTTAGGATGAGAAGGTGGGCCCTTCAGTTATTGAGGGGAGTGCCTATCTTTCCTGCCAAGGCAGCTCCCCTCAACTGGGGCAATTCTTTGGAGAAGAGAGTGTAACTGTGACCTTCAGCAGGTCAACAGTCACAGCAGTGGGTGGTGTGGGGTGGTCAAGACACCAAAACAACATCGACCACATCCCACATGAATATACTTTCTATTAAAATGTTGACAGCAGAAGAAGATAGCATTATGTTGCACTACTTGAAAAATATGAGGCAAGAAGAGTTAGCTTTGACATGGAATTCCTTGCCTTTATGTTTTCCATTTGCTAAGATTTCTTCTCGTTGGAACTCCGGTTGGGAATCGGAACGGAATCCATCAGCAGGTTAACATTACTGAGCACCCGCCATGGGACTCACACTAAGCTAAGAGCCATGAAGAATGAAAAGAAGCCCGGCCAGTGTGGCTCAGGGATTGAGCATCGACCCTGCACTAAGAGGTCGCCGGTTCGATTCCCAGTTAGGACACATGCCCAGATCCCCAGTGGGGGGCATGCAGGAGGCAGCCAGTGATGTTGTCTCTCATCCATGTTTCTCCCTCTCTCTCCCTGTCCCTTCATCTCTCTCTCTCTAAAAATCAATAGAGGAAAAAAAAAAAAGAATCAAGAGAAAGGCAAGGTTAGGATTCTGTCCTAGATTAGGAGGAATTTCAGGAAGAAGACAAGATTTACCTATAAGAACAAATGACCAGATGTAATCATTAAGGGATTCCAGAGGAGAGTCTTAAAATTAAGTCCTAAGTAAAACGCTTCCTCTGGACATTTGAGTCCTGGTGCTGAATATCTTTGCCCATTTATTGCCTGGGGTTCGAAATCCTTTCCACCGACAAGTTTGAGGACGTTGAAAAAAATAACAATGGTAAATTGTCCTAAATCACACGAAGGCAGGGACTGAAGGAAATGCCAACTACATTGTGTAGCTACTGGGCAGAGATGACAAGGGAAAGCCAGAGTCATTTGCCTACACATTCATCTCCCTGGTGCAAGCAGGCATTGTTCTGTGCCCCGTGGCAGCATCAGAAATACCACTGGGCAATAAGTACACAAAGTTGCTATGGAAACCAGAACGCTCCCGCCCAGTAGTATTTACAGAGAACTTGGAGGATTATCACAATCAATGAAAGCGACTCGGTGTCGCTTTTATTCTGTACCGGGGCATCCCACGTAAATATCTATTTTGAAGGCTCCTTCAGTCAGTACTGCGTGAAATGGAGTCAGGGGTCCGTGGATGATGGTCAGGCCACAGGACATTTACACGTGGTGTTTCTGTGTGACGTGTTTGACTGTTGTTCACACTTGCCTCAGCTCCTGTCAGGCTTGCTGGACTCTGGAACAAGGTGCTGTTTGACACCAGCAGAGAAACGTCTCCTCCGAGGCAGCTGGTGTGTTGCCGACACTGCGACACGGTGGGACGTGTTTCTCCACATTCTCTCAACGCACCTTTGAGGCTGCACAGTGACAGCTGCCTCTGCCCATCGTTTTTGTCCCCGATTGCAAATTGGAATTTTCCCAGCTATTCAACAGGATATATTTTTTTAAAGTTGTGGGAGTGGTTTGTGTGGTGGCGGTGGTTTTGAGAACATGAGGATTTTCATAGCCTTTGAGGGATCTTTTGAACCTTTTGAAGTCTCAGCCGATGAAACGGTGGGGGCTGTGAAGCTGATGGTAAAGGTACGTGCTTCTCCGCGAGCCACTGAGATGCATATTCGTTCTCACAGGATCCATTTCACTAGGCAGCGGAGTTTACCCCGCACCGGGGGCAGAGACTTTACTACTCGGCACATTCTCAGCAAACAGGGAACTAAAACGATTTCAAAAGATCTTTGTTTGCTTACACAAGAGTTTGATAAGGACATGGTAACTATGGAGGGTTAGACGGGAGAGCAAACTGGGTTGGTAAATAGTCAGGAAAAAGTTGCACTTCTCTTTATAAAATCTGTGGGTTGTGCCTAAGCCATATAGTATTACAGTAATTCTTCATAAAAGGACAGAAATGAGGCCCCAACTCTCGGCTCTGTGAGCTGAGCTTGCCCGTTCTGACACAGATGGCTTGTTTGGGGAGCAAACAACGCTCAAGAACCAACGGAGTTTGGAGGTGAAGAGGCCTTTAGAGGACTGGGCTGCAGCCTCCTTTGGCATTTAGGGAAACGGAAACTCACAGAGGCTGCATGTTACCTGGGATCACAGAGCCAGCATCAGAAATCATTTGGGTGCTCTAACGTCCTTAGAAGCTTCTTACATTCACTCTAAAATGGGAACGTAAGACCAATATTTAGGTCCTGACCGTCGGATGGTATTTAACTTGGAGAGGATCGTTTCCACGTGCCAAGGAGCATTTACTGAATCAGTTACATGGTATTTGGTGGATTCCTGTGATCACTGACATCTGGATCCTCTAACAAAGGGGCTCTAAACCTTTATGTGTTGGGATCCCTTTGGCAGTCTGGCAAGCCTACGGACTCCTTCTCGGAATGTCTTTATTTATTTATTCATTCTGCTCTTTTTTAATTGTTAAAAGTGTTGCAGATGTCCCCCCTTTTCCCCCACTCACCCCCCTCCTCCCCGCTCCCACCCCCTTCCTGCTTTCCCCAACCTAGTGTATGGGTCCGTTGGTTGTGCGTATATGCATATAAATTCTTTGGTTTATCTCTTCCCACCTCTCCCACCCCCATCCCTATGAGGTGTTAGTCTGTTCCCTATTTCCATGACTCTGGATCTATTTTGGTTGACAGCTTATTTTGTTCATGATGTTCCCTAAATAAGTGAGATCATGTGGTAATTGTCTTTCTGTGACTGGCTTATTTTGCTTAGCATAATACTCTCCAGGTCTCTCCATGTTGTCTCAAAGGGTAAGAGATCTTTCTTTCTTACAGCTACATAGTATTCCATCGTATAAATTTGGTGCTTCCTCAAAAAATTAAAAATGGAATTGCCATTTGACCCAGTAATTCCACTTCTAGGAGTATATCTAAGAAGCCTGAAACACCAATCAGAAAGAATATATGCACCCCTATGTTCATAGCAGCTCTATTTACAATAGCTAAGATCTGGAAACAGCCCAAGTGTCCTTCAGTAGATGAGTGGATGAAAAAGCTGTGGTACATATACACAATGGAGTACTATGCAGCTGTAAGAAAGAAAGATCTCAGAATGTCTTTAAATGCATATAATAAAATACGTGCAAAGAAAAGGAAACCAGTTATATTGAAATGCAATGTTCAAACATTAAAAAACAAATCTGTGACATGTGGGCTTCTTTATTAACACATGGACAGGTTCTAGCTGAATAACCACTGTGATTTCAAAGTAGGGATCAGCATACTGTCTTGAGATATCTGCAGCAACTATAAGGTGACGTGAAAATATTGGTGATTCCTATTGGTAGCAAGTCACAGACAGGTACAGCCAACTACCTCTACTTTAGTTTATTGACTATATGCATAATTAAAAGAAAATCTCCATTTTGTTTAGAATGAATAAAAATAAACTGTCATTTTTCTCATATAAATTCTATCTATAAACTTTGGGGAGGTCTATAGACTCCAAGTTAAGAACCCCTGTCTAATACTTCTTCCCTCTGCCCCAATTTTATACTGCTCAGTGGAAAATGTAAGCAGAAAGAAATGACATCGTTGGCCCGTAATGTAGAGATGTGCTGTTTTCATAAGGTGCTATCGCTTTTTCCGGACTGTTTCCACATTCCCCTCTCTGAAGACGAACGAGGCAGGCAGTTTCTGGAGCTGTCGTATGCTGGAGCAGCCCGGAGGGACGGCTGGGGTCTTGCTGATGTCGGAATCTCCGTTTGTTCAACTCTCAAATGCTTTGCGAAGGTATGATGATCAACACAACCTTTGTCCGAGATGTCTAGTTCATTTCACATAACAATGTGGGTCATTTGACAGAACTAATTCTACAACGTAGGAGGAGGTTTTCTCTTCTTTCCTTCTTCCTTCTTCAACGTAGGCTGTGAGGGGCAACAAGGTGTGGAGACTACAGAGTTCCCTTGTTTACTTCCTCTCTCCCCCCACCCCCCAGCTTAACGTGCCTGCCCCAAACAGCCGCTACAGGGCAACCCACAAACCAACATTGAAACAAGACCAAGGGGAGGGTCAGGAATACAGATGTGGTAGAAAAAGATGACATCACTTCCGTGGGTCTGCAGTGAATTAGGGGCGCTGTAGTGAGGAAAGGGGTGCACTTCTCAGTAACAATGAGCATGAAGGGGCTGGTTCTATGCTCAAATCCAGCCCGATCAGCCATTCCTGAATTAGGTGCATATATATCGGAGATAACTTTTTCCATTTATAGGGCCCTTAATCTGTGGTGCTTAATTCTGGGTCCATGGATGGGCTTCAAGAATTTGACAAAACCCTGAAATTGCAATCTGTGCAAAATTATTTTACCTGGAGACTTTCTGGGTGGAGGACCTGTAACTTTAGACAATTTCTTAAAGAAACAGATGCCTACAGAGTTTAAGAGCTGCTCTCCAGGGAAGAAATAGAATTCAGGCCCAATTCTTTACCACACACGAAAACATGAGCCTCAGAGGAACTTAGTAAAATACATATTCTCTGCTACATAAAATACTTATTTTCTCGTATATAACATTTAAGAATTTTTATGGAAGATAGTGGGTAGGTAAACGCGGTCTCGCCTCCTCCCACAACCACATCAAAATGACAACTAAACTACAGAATAAACATCCTTCAGAACCACCTGATACCTAGCTGAGTGGAAGTCCTACAACTACGAGATTAAAGAAGCCACATGGAGACTGGTAGGAGGGCAGAGGCGGACGGGCTGGTCCCACACCCATGTGTGGCGGATAAAAATCAGGGGGACACCTCGGCCGGGAAGGTCCTTCCTGAGGACTGAGGGGTCCCCGTCCCACACCAGGCACCCAGCTCAGGGTCCCAGTGCCAGGAAGAGAATCCCCATCACTTCTGGCTGTAAAACCAGCGGGAACTGAGGCTCAGGGAGGCTGAGGCTGCTGAAGCTCCAGGCAGCTCCTCTTTTTTTTTGGTACGTGCCCCTAGCGGGAACCGAACCTGGGACTCTCTGGTTTGTAGGCTGATGCTCCAACCACTGAGCCAAACCGGCCATGGCCAAGCAGCTCCTCTTAAAGCACCCACGCACGGACTTACTTGGACCCGCTCTCTCCAGGCTTCAGCACAGAGGGGAGGCAGCTTGAAAGGCACCAGAGACATACGGGGAAGAACTGAGTTGTCTGGCATTGGGGTAAGAGCTGGAGGGGGTGCTTTCTCCGGGACAGACATGCTGGCATAGGCCTTGTTCCTTTGGTGAGCCCTTCCCTGGGCTGGCAGACATCACCATATCTGGGACTCCAGCAACCTGGCTCACACTGTTTGCCCCGCCCTGGTGATTCCCTGAGGCCCTGCCCCACCCTCTAGGCCCACCCAAGCTGTTGCCAGTGGCTTACCATAGGATTGGCTTGTTTTGGTTCCTACTTCAGATTTTCCTAAATTCTCTCAAACAAGGAGTACCTGGCCACAGCGAGCCCCATACCTCTTGCTAAGTGGCCCAGGCCTGGCACTAGAAGCAGCCAGCCTTGGTTCACAGCTGGGCCTTGCTTGGGCACCTCCAAGCCCAGCACAAGAAGCACCATCTGTAGATCAGTCTGTAGCCTATACCTGGTGGCCTCGAGTAGAACACAGGCAGAGGCTGACCTTGCCCCAGAGCCAGCACACCCAGTGGACAGCTTCAGACCACATCAAAGCACCATCACCCAACCACCTCCACAAGTGACACACTCAGTGAGTGGACTCAGTGGGTACCAGAGCCCTGCTGAAGTCAGTCTTGCTCTGTGTGGTGGGCCCTGCACAGCTGATCCTCCAAGGTAGTCAGAGGCCAGTGGTCAGTGGGCACAGCCAGTCCTTGCAGCTGATCAGCCTGAGTCAACCCCTCCCATTGACGTGCCAACAGCAATCAAGACTCAAGTACAGCAGAAGGGTGTAAAGTCCACATGAGAGGTGCACCTCAAGGGCCCAGCTGGGGTGACCAGGGAGGCTGTACCACTGGATCCTACAGGACACCTACTACAACAGGCCATGCTAGGAAGCCTAGGAGACATAGCAACTCTACCCAGTACATAGAAACAAACACAGAGACGCAGCCAAAATGAGGAGACAAAGAAACGTCCCAAATTAAAGAACAGAACAAAACTCCAGGAAAAGAATAAACAAAATGGAGCTAAGCAATCTAACAGATGCAGAGTTCAAAACACTGCTTATAAGGACGCTCAATGAACTTAGTGAGAATTCAAGGAACTTAGTGAGGACCTCAAAAGCGTAATAAAGGACCAGCCATAAGTAAAGGATACACTAACTGAAATAAAAAATAATTTACAAGGAATCAATAGTAGAGTAGGAGAAGCCAAGAAGCAAACTATCGATTTGGAATATAAGAAAGCAATAAACACCCCATCAGAACAAAGAATCCTCCAAAATGAGGATAGTGTAAGGAGCCTCTGGGACAACTTCAAACATACCAACATTCACATCATGGGGGTGCCAGAAGGAGAAAGAGAGCAAGAAATTGAAAACCTATTTGAAAAAATAATGACAGAAAACTTCCCTAACATGTTGAAGAAAACAGACATACAAGTTCAGGAAGCAGACAGAATCCCAAACAAGATGAACCCAAAGAGGTCCACACCAAGACACATCAGCATCAAAATGCCAAAAGTTAAAGACAAAGAGAGAATCTTAAAAGCAGCAAGAGAAAAGCAGTTACCTACAAAGGATCTCCAATTAGGTTGACCACCAATTTTTTAAAAGAAACTTTGCAAGCCAGAAGGGAGTGGCAAGAAATATTTAACAAGATGAAGAGCAAGGACCTACAACCAAGATTACTCTATCCTGCAAAGCTGTCATTTAGAATCCATGGCCCTATAAAGAGTTTCCCAGGCAAGAAAAAACTAAAGGAATTCATCACCACCAAACCAGTATTATATGAAATGTTGATGGGTCTTCTTGAAGAAGAAAAAGATTTTTAAAAAATATGAACAATAAAATGGCAATAAAAATATATCTATAACAATCAAATCTATAAACAAAATGAGTAAGCAGAACAGAAACAGACTCATAGGTACAGAGAACTTTTTGTTGGTCACCAAATGGGAGGGGGTTTGGGGGAGGGGTGAGAAAGAAGAAGTACAAATTGGTTATTAGATTGATGAACCTCAAAGGGAAGCGAGAAAGTGGGGCAGGAAGAGAGAAACCAAAGAGCTTATATGCATATATGCATAACTGATAGACACGGACAATAGTGTGGGGAAGGCAGGAGGGGGGTGGGAGTGGAGAGGAGGGGGTCAAGGGAGGAAAGATGGAGGGACAGCTGTAATACATTCAACAATAAAGATAAGTTTAAAAAGGAAAAAAAAAAAATTCATGGTTGCCCAAACTAACTTTTTTGTTTTAGTATGTTTTGCTGATTGACAAAGTGGGAAGGCTGCATTTAAAAGGAATATTCTAAAATATTTATTATTAAATAGTAAAGACAATTAATAGAAAAATAAGCATTGTATAATCCTGTTAATGTAAACAAAAGATCATATCTTTACATGTCTTTAATATTTTATGAGCATTTATTTACTTACTTTTATATTATTGAAGAATGTTTAATTACCAAAAAGAGAAATAAAAACCACTGCGATGTCTTCTTTTCTTTATGACACTCAGAAAATTGTAATATAATACTTCTTTCAACAGACTAAATTTCATACCTTTTTTATTATTGACAGTATTATAGAAGTCCCCAATTTCCCCCCACCCATTTGCCTTTCTCCACCGAGCCTCCACCCACCACAGGCCTTCCCCACACTATTGTCTGTGTCCATAGGCTATGCATATAGGCATATATGTTCTTTGGTTAATCTCCTCCCCTCCCCTCCACCCTCTTCCTCTCTGAGAGCTGTCATTCTGTTCAATCTATCTATGCCTCTGGACCTATTTTGTTTGTTAATTTATTTTGTTCATTAGATTCCACATATAAGTGAGGGCATGTGATATTTGTCTTTCTTTAATTGGCTTATTTTTCTTAGCATAATAATCTCCAAGGTCATCCAGGCTGTTGCAAAGGGTAAGAGCTCCTTTTTTGTTTTTTTGTTTTATAGCTGCATAGTATTCCATTGTGTAAATGTACCACAGCTTTTTTCCCCACTCATCTACAAATGGGCACTTGGGCTGTTTCCAGATCTTGACTCTTGTAAATAATACTGCTATGAATATTGGGTGCATATATTCTTTCTGATTGGTGTTTCAGGATTATTAGAATATATTCCCAGAAGTGGGATCTTTGGGTCAAATGGCAGTCCCATTTTTTTATTTTTTGAGGGAACTCCACACTGTTTTTCACAGTGGCTGCGCCGGTCTGCATTTCCACCAGCCATGTATTAGGGTTCGCTTTTCTCCCCATCTTCGCCAGCACTTGTTTGATGATTTATTGATGGTAGCCATTCTGGCAGGCATAGGTGGATACCTCACTGTGGTTTTAATTTGCATCTCTCTGATGTTTAATGACACTGAGCATTTTTTCATATATCTATTGGCCATCTGTATGTCCTCTTTGGAGAAGTGTCTATTCGGGTCCTTTGCCTATTTTAACTGGATTATCTGTCTTCCTGGTGTTGAGTTATATGAATTCTTTGTATGTTTTGGAAATTAACCCCTTATCAGATGTATCACTGGCAAATATATTCTCCCATACCACGAGTTCCCTTTTCATTTTGTTGGTGGTTTCTTTTACTGTGCAGAAGCTTTTTAATTTGATGTACCCTTTGTTTATCTTTTTCCTTTGTTTCTATTGCCCT